CCCCAAAACTGGTCCCTTCACCACAGGTAATCTGAGAAGCACTGATCTAGACAACCCTCAAATTCAAATGATCAGCCCTAGAATGATCAGCAATAATTTGAACTTTGTACATGGATAACAAGGTGCATATTATATATATTTTGCAAAAGATTATATATATTTGCTATTTTTTCCCCCCGTTTAGGATGGTCAGGAGGAATAACACGGTTTTCCTCACTATTTCTTTCTTTTGCTTTGCAGAAAGATGTCTCCAGTCAGTTATTTTTATAAGGGATAATTACAGTCTAGCTAAGGAAAAACTTGTTCTTAAAAAATATCCAATATTTTTAGTTAAAAGTGTAAAATTGTTTCAGTTTGGCTTTTTAGGGGTTACCAAAAAGATTTGTTTAACTTTTGGATCCGTTACTCTAGCCGTGTTGTCCTTTTACTTATTTTATTTCTTAAGTGATCTCATTCAACATTCTGGAATAACCATGGGACAGCCAGCATTTATTGTCTGTTCCATACTGCATCGGAGCTACTCAGAAAGCTGTTAACAAAATGAAATCAGTGTTAATCTTTATTTATGTAGTAACAGATACCAAGGACTAGATCTTATATTGGTAACACATTCAGAATTATAACTTTGCATGAAACACCATTACATATGGGAAAACATCACTAATTTGGGTAAGCAAAAAAAAACCCCATTGCTGAATTACTGCAAAAGTAAACTATAAAATACGAATTGTTTTTGTCAAAGATATAAATGGAGCATTTCATTTATTCAGTGATTTTTTTCTACCAGATCCTGGCTAGGGACTGGGATAACAATGTTTTCTATATTTGTGTTGGGGAAGACAGATGTTAAGCTATTATTTGTAGGTGTAACAAAAAAGAAAGAGGAAAAGTATTGAGTTGTATGGGCATGCATACCAAGAGGATTTATTAGGCTAGACAATTAGGAAAAGGTAGATATGAGAGAAAATATATCTAGTAAGTAGGAGAAAAATATTATCCTCCCTGGTAGTAAAAGAACTAATCAGAACACTGAAATGCCATTTTTATATGAAATTAGAAAGTTTTAAAATAAGTATTTTCTGTGGAATTTGTATTTGAGAATTACTACCAGCATTTTAAATTTGTACAACTCTCTTAAAAAGTAATTTTTAACTGTTTAACATAGTCCTACTAGGAATTTATCTTAAAGGAGTAATGTAAAACGTGAAAGGTTGTATGCATGAAGATATTTATTATAGAATTATTTATAAATGGTCAAAATTAAAAGTTGTTTATCCGAAAAATAGGGGAATAGTTAAATGATGGAAGATCTACAGATGGAGCATTATTCATCCATTTAAAAATAATAGTGAAGAATAAGCAACAGCATGGAAAAATGAATGATGCACTAAGTGGAATAAAAGCAATTTTTATTATCAAAACATTATAAAATGATAAAAATCCTTTTATCCTGTATAAAAGACTAAAGAAAATATATCAATCTGTTAATGGTGTGGGATTTTTAGTGATTTTTACACCCCGCCCCCCCCTTCTTGCTACTAGAATTGTCTACATTGTATCTGGTCTTATAAGTTCCTTGGTAAAATACAGATTTGACCATGTCATTCCTTTGCTTATGGTTGTCCCCCAATACACATACATTCACTGTCAGGTAAACTCAAAGTTGATTAGCTTGGCACTTGAGACCTGTTACACCTTTTTTCCCAAGCTCCTATTTTGCCTTTCCCATTCTCTACCTGATTACCTCATGTAAGTCTATTCCTCCTTCAAGGCCACACTCAAATATCATACCTTCTTGAAGTCTTTCCTCCCACCCTTTTTTCTTACAAATTAATGTCTTTTGTCTACTTTTTAGGTCCTCTTTTTGTCTACCTTTTAGGTCCTCCCAGTATAGTCCTTACAACATTGTATTATAATAGATTTTTTTTCCCCCAATGCAGAAACTATAGAAAGTATCTCTAGTTGATTGTTTGGCACATACTAGACAGTCAATGAATAGAAATTGGTTAACTGTTAATGCTTTTAATTTCTTACAGGGGCATTTATGCAATGAGCCTTTGGATATGTACAGTTATTTACACAGCCAAGGGATTGGCATTTCACTTGCTCAGTTCTATATTTCATGGGCTGAAGAATATGAAGCTAGAGAAAACTTTAAGAAAGCAGATACAATATTTCAGGATGGGATTCAGCAGAAGGCTGAGCCACTGGAAAAACTGAAGTCCCAGCACCGGTAAGCTGCTTCTCTGGAGCTTGTCCTAACTCTTTAAAACTCCCTATAAATGGTTGTTTTTGTATCTGAATAAAGTGCTCTCTGTGGATTGGCAAGTTTAATAGTTACTATTCAATTTTTTAAAAGGCATATTTAAATTTTTGTATTTAACATACAGTAAAATTCATTCTGTGGTGTACAGTTTTATAAGTTTTCACAAATGAAAAGAGACATGTAACCATTACCATAATCATGATATGGAATAGTTCCATCACTCCATTGAATTCTCTCATGCTGTCCCTTTGTGGTCAACGCCTACTTTCACTCCAACCCCTGGCAACCACTGATCTATTCTCCAGCCCTATAGTTGTTTTGCCTTTTCCATAATGTCATATAAATGAAATCATACAATATATAGCCTTTTGAGTCTGGCCTCTTTCATTTAGCATAATGCATCTGAGGTGTAAGAGTTCTTTATATATTCTGAATACAAGTCTTTTGTTAGATCAGTGATTTGTACATCTTTTCTCCCAGTCTGGTCTATTCTTTCTCTTAACAGTGTTTTATATAGTTTTTGTTTGTTTGTTTGTTTGTTTGTTTGTGTAAGCTGAGCCATCCTGCCACCTGTTGGCTGCTCAGCGGCTGCTCAGCTCAGGCCAGGAATCAAACCGCTGTTGCTCAGAGGTCAAACTCTTGAGCGAGCTCTTAACTAACTGAGCCACTCCGCCGGCCCTATAGTTTTTAATTTTGAAGAAGTCTGGCTTGTCAATTATTATATTTCTTATGGATCGTGCTTTTGATATGAGAATTTTGTCTAGCCAGAGGTCACAAAGATTTTCTCCTATGTTTTCATCTTGAAGTTTTATAGCTTTACTTTTTACATTTAGATCTGTGATCCATTTTGAGTTAATCTCTGTAGAAGGTATGGGTCAAGGACAAGGTTCTTTTTTTCTCTTTTGCAAATAAACCTCCATTTGTTCCTATGCCACTATTGAAAAGACTTTCTCCGTTAAATTGCCTTTGTACCTTTGTCAAAAATTAGTTTCAGTTTGATCATATTTGTGTAGATTTATTTCTGTTACTTGATTTTATTTATTTATTTATTTTTAAGATTTTATTGGGGAATTGAGGGAGGGGAACAACGTTGTGGAATCAGGGAAGGGGAACAGACAGGTAGACAAATTGCTGTTTTGTTCTTCAGCCTAGTTGTGGAGGACGTTGCTTCACTGGCCCATGTTGGCACCATCATTGCGCTCTTCCCGGGTGAGGCAATCAGTCACCCGTCATTGGTTGGCCACTCATGGCAGCTCTCTCTGGCTGCCGGTTGCTCACGCTGGCTTGCCAGCCACTCACATAGCTCACAGCAGTCCACTGCAGCCCCGCTCCAGGTCGAGCTATTGTTCATCATCTTAGCTGTAGAGGGCGCATCGTCACTGGCCCTCAAATGTGGGATCCAAACCTTGACCCTGCTGCTCAGAGCCGGTGCTCCCAAGCGAGCTCTTAACCAACTGAGCCACTTGGCCGGCCCTCGATTTTATTTTATTGATCCATTTATATGTCTATTTATTAGTATATACCACACTGCCTAAATCACTGTAGCTTTATAGTAAGTCTGGAAATCGGTTAATATGAGTTCTCTAACTTTGTTCTTCTTTTTAGCTCTTGTTTACCTTTTTAGTTCCTTTGTATAAATTTTAGAATCAGCTTTTTGGGATTTTGATTACTATTGTGCATGAACACGGTATATTTCTCCATTTATTTAGATCTTTGATTTGTTTGAGTGAACTTTGGTAGTTTATGGTCTTCAAGGACCATTCCATCTAAATTGATGAGTTTATGGGCAAAGAATTGTTCATAGTATTCCTTTATTATCCTTTTAGTGTCGTACGTTATGTAATGATCTCCCTTCTTTCATTCCTGATATTGGTAATTTGTGTCTTCTTTTTTTTTTTCCTCAGTGATTCTGACTAGAAGTTTATTGATTTTTATTGATCTTTTAGAGAACCAGCTTTTGGATTGATTTTTCTTATTGATTTTCTGTTCTTAATTTTAAGTTTTTGCTCTTTATTATTTCCATCTTTTTGCTTGCTTTGGATTTAACTTGTTCTTCTTTTTCTAGTTCAAGGTGACAGCTTAGATCACTGATTCTAGACCTTTCCTTTCTATTATGAAAATTTTCCTTCTAAGCACTGCTTTAGCTGTATCTCAAAAGTTTTGAATGGGACATGGAGTATAGTGTGGGAGTGGAGTGAAGGGATTTGTAGTAGATATGTATGATATTAGGGGGAAATGGGGCAGCGGATGGGGGAGGGGGGTTGTCACTTCGAGGGGTAAAAAGTATAACTATTGCACTGTGTTGTACAGCTGAAACTAATTCTAAAAAATGTGTATTTCATAATAAAAAATAATTTAATAAAAAAAGAGAAAAAAATAGTTTTGATATAATACTGTATTATTATTTTTCATTTAGTTAAAAATATTTTCTAATTTCCCCATGTCTACCTTTGGACCCATAGGTTAATTAGAAGTGTGTTATTTAATTAGGAAATGTTTGGAGATTTTTCAGATATCTCCATTACTGATTTCTAATTTAATTCCTTATGGTCAGAGAACATAATTTGTAAACTTTCAAATCTTTTAAACTAATTAAATTTCGTTTTATGGCCCATAATGTGATCTATAATGGTGAATATGCCATGTACACTTGAGAAATATGTGTAGTCTGCTGTTTTGGAGTGGAATGTTCCAAAAATGCCATTCAGGTCAAGTTGATTGGTAGTGTATTTTTCTGTATCGTTGCTGATACTCTACTTCTTCTGTCAATTACTAAGAGAGGAATTTTAAAGCCTCTTTTATTGTGAATTTGCCTACTTCTTCTTTCATTCCATCAGCTTTGCTTCAAATATTTTGAAGTTCTATTGTTAGATACATACACATTTAGAATTGATCCTTTTATCAATGTCCATCTGTATCTTTGGTCATACTTGATCTAAAGTAGACTTGGTGTGATACTAATATAGCCACTTCAGCTTTCTTTTGTTTGCATGATATATCTTTTTCCTTTCTTTACTTTTTTAAAAAAAATAGCTTTAGAGTCGTGCAAGCATCACCACAATCTAATTTTAGACATTTTTAACACCCCGAAATGAACCCTGTACTCATTAGAAATCACTCCCCATTCCTACTCACCCCAGCTCCAGGAAACCACTAACCTGCTTTTTTGTCTCTGGATTTGCCTATTCATTTGACATAAATGGAATCCTACAGTATGTGGTGTTTTGTGACTGACTTCTTTTACTTAGTATAATGTTTTCAAGGTTCATCATAGAAAAACATAATTGTGGCATGTATCAGTATTTCATTCCTTTTTATTGCTGAATAATATGCCATTGTTTGGATACCACATTTTGTTTATCCATCAGCTAATGCATTTAGGTTGTTTCCATTTTTTTGGCTATTATGAAATAATACTGCTCTGAACATTCATGTTACAAGTTTTTATGTGAAATTTTCTTTCACTTTTAACCTATGTCTTTATATTTAAAGTGGGTTTCTTATACACAGAAAATAATTGGGTCTTGGTTTTTTTTTTTCAACTCTTACAATATCTGTTTTTATGTGGTATGTTTAGACCATTTAATATAATGACTGATTATATTGAATTTAGGTCTACTATTTTATTATTTGTTTTCAGTTTGTTCTCTGTCTTTTGTTCTTCTATTGCCCCTTTCCTGTCTTCTTTTGAACTGTTTAAATATTTTCTAGTATTTAATTTAATTTTATTGGTTTTTCTATCATTTTTTTCATGGTTGCGCTAAGGCATATACACAACCTTTTACAATCTACTTAGAGTTAGTATTTTATCACTTCAAGTAAAATATAGAAGTTTTATAACCATATAGGTTCCTTTATCTTTTTTGGTATACTTGTCGTATGTATTACATATGCATACACTAAAACCCCCACCAGACAATATTATAATTTTTGCTTTCAACACCCACACATAGCTTTTAAAAACTTAGGAGAAAAATAATCTTTTGTATTTACCATTTTTGTTCTTTCTTCATTTCCTAAAGTTCCAAGTTCTCCTCTAGTAACATTTCTCTTCAGGAAGAAGAGGGTTTTTTTTTTTTTTTTTAGGTATTCATTTATAGTGAGTCTATAAATTGCCAATAAATTCTCTTAATTTTTCATTATCTGAGAATGTCTTCATTTCATCTTAATTCCTGAAGGATATTTTTACTATATGTAGAATTCTGGGTCAACAGTTCTTTTCTTTCAGCACTTGAACAATGTTTTTCCAGCGTTTTCCTGTGGGAGCCACCGGCTTGAGAGATGCGTGGCTGCCTCTCCCCGCCATGGTGTATGCTCATCTACTGATAATCGGCACACTCCGAAACGGGGGAATCTGGCAAAAATGTCACTTTGCCTGCTGTGTTCAAGGCTCCAATTCAACCAGATATTGTGAACTTTGTTCATACCAACTTGCGCAGAAACCATAGACAGCCCTGTGCTGTCAGTGGATTAGCAGGTTATCAAACTAGTGCTGAGGTGTGAGGTACTGGTGAGCTGCAACTCGAATTCCCAGCGTTTGAGGGAATGGGACTTATCGTTCTGGCCAGGGTGCTTTTCAATGTGTGTAATGGGGGCCGTATGTGTGCACCAATGAACACCTGACACCATTGGCACTGCAGAGTTGAACACAACGCAGAAGCGATATGCCATCTGCCCTGCCCCGGCCTTACCAGTGCTGGGCATATCTAAAGGTCATTGTAATGAGGAAGTCCCTGAACTTCCTTTGGTGGTTGAAGATAAAGTTGAAGGCTGTTTTGCTTCTCAAGAAACTTAAGGCCTGAAATGGTATCAAAAAGATCTATGCCTCTCAGCAAATGTCATTGTATCCAGTACAGGGGACCTTGTACCATTTATAATGAGGACAGTGGCATCATCAAAGCTTTCAAAATATCTGTGGAATTACTCTGTTTTATGCTCAGCAAACTGAACATTTTGAAACTTGCTCCTGGTGGGCATGTGGGCCATTTCCACATTTGGATTGAAAGTGCTTTCCGCAGTTTAGATGATCTGTATGGCACTTGGCATTAAAGCTGCCTGCCTCAAGAGTAACTACAACCTTCCCGTGCACAAGATGCTCAATACAGACCTTAGCAGAATCTTGAAAAGCCCGGAGATCCAAAGAGCCCTCCACGCACCCGCAAGAAGATGCATCACAAGAGTCCAGAAGAAGAATACACTGAAAACCTGAGAATCATCTTTAAACGCACATGCAAAGACCATGAGTTGGGAACAGCATTCTTCCCCAGGCCAAGAATCACAAGCCCCGGGTGGATAAAGCAGTGGCAGTGCTAGAAGCCAAGTCAGATGAGAAGAGGGTTCCAGGCAAGAATCCAGCGGTAAGGAAGAAAGGAAAGAAGGCTGTTGGTGTTACAAAGCAGAAGAAGCCTTTGGTGGGGGAAAGGCTGCATCAAGAAACCAGCAGCTGAGAAGCCCACAGAAAAGAAACCCACAGCCAAAGAAAAGAAGCCTGTGGCATAAACTTAAATTTGTTTATTCTGTAAAGGTCAAATCACTTTGCACAGCTAATTTTGAATAAAAATCGGGTCAAACGCAGTGATAAAGATGAAAAAAATAAAGATGTTATTCCACTGTGTTTTGAACTCTGTGGTTTCTGATAAGAGATCTGCAGTCATGAATGGTTCTTCCCCTTTATGTAACGTATTGATTTTTCTCTGGGTGTGTTCAAGATTTTTTTCTTTAACATTGGTTTTCTTCAGTTTGATTTGATGTGTCTAGGTTTGATTACCTTTGCATTTAATTCATTTGGGGCTTATTGGGCCTTTTGAATATGTAAATGTATACCTTACACAAAATTTGAGAAGTTTTCAGCCATTATTTTAGAAATACTTTTCTGTACCTATATCTCTTTCTTTTCTTATTCTGGGACTTCAGTACACATATGTTAGACCTTTTGATATTGTTCCTCAGGTCCCTGAAGTTTTCAGTTCATGTTTTTAAGATTTTTGTCTTTTTTTCTTTCTGTTCTTCAAAGTGGCCAATTTTTATTGTTTTGTCTTCAGGTTCATTTACTCTTTCCTTAGCCCTTTCCATATTGATATTGAACTCATCCAGTAAATTTTTTATTTCAGATATTGTGTTTTTCAGGTCTAAAATTTTTATTTGGTTCTTTTTATATGTTCCATATCTCTGCTAAGAACTTTCATCTTTCTATTCATTTCAAATGTTTCTACCCATATCTCATGGAGCACAATTATAATAGGTGCTTTAAAATCTCTATCTGAAAACTCTCACACCTGGGTCATCTTGATGTTGGCAACCTTTTTTTTTGAGAATTGGTTCTTTTTTGAGAATTCTCCTGGTTCTTTCTGTATCAAGTAATTTTGGATTATATCCTGGACATCATCCATCCTATACTATATTATTAGACTCTGGTTCCAGTTAGTTGATATTCTGTGGAGAATGTTGATGTTTTTGTCTTAGTAGGCAACCAATCTTTAGATGTCACAAGTTCTTTTATGGGTAGCAGTTTCAATGTCAGTTCAGTTTTCAAGAACTTTGAGTCTACCCCATGCTCAGGGGTTAGTTACTCAGGAGTTAGTCTGGGACTTGGGCAGTGGTTTATATAATATTTCAGTTCTTACAGCCTTTTCTGTGCTGCCTTGGTTCTGCCCTGTGCACGCAAGTAATAGCTCATGAGTGAGTCCAGGGTTTGTGCCAATTCATGTACAGAGTTAGGAGATCCCCTTCTTCAGCTCATCCTTTTCCGTATTTCTCCCATACTCATTGGCTGTCAGAGTCCCCTTTTCCTAGTCCTCTGGCCAGAAGGATGAGGTTTCTCCAGAAGTGTTAGCCTTCCACACTACCACTGCAAGAGTTCAAAACCATGAGAGAAAGAGAAGAAGGAAAGAAACAGGAAACAACCCTGTGTGGGTTGTTTCTTCAAGTTTGACTCTTCTCCACAGTCCACTTGCTTTTGTTTACTTTTCAGAGGCCTCAGTTGCTTTTTTGTCTTATGTCTAGAGATTCATTCTAATCAGTGAGAGAGAGGCTATATGGGCTTACTCCATCTCCACCAGCACTTGGAGTTTATTCAGGTTTTTTTTACCCTTTTGATAATACTTAAAACTTTGGCAGCAGCACAGGAAGTTTAGTCTTCAAATTTCTGCCAGCTTTGTTTGTTAAAGTAAAATGTTACATTGGATGCTACTTTATTTCATGATTCCAGAAAAATGGGGGGAGGGGGGTGCAGTGTGTGCAGAGAAAAAAGAGACACAGACAGTGATAAAATGTGTCAAGATGTTAACAATTGGTGAATGTATGCAAAGAGTATACTGGTGCTTATTTACTCTTTCAACCATTTTATAAGTTTAAAAAGCTTTATAGTAACAAGTTGATGGGAAACTGTGATCTTAATAAACTCTGTAATCTTAGTCACCCTGATCTGATACTCAGATCAGCTTAATCTTGATCTTCAGAGTATTTTTAATTGGTCGAACTTGGACATTTAAAGGAGTTAAATCATTCTATCCAAAACTGTCTGTGATCTCAAGGTGGCTTTCTTTATTGCTGAGAGAATACTTTCTTTGGGCTGTTCCTATAGATTTCATCCCCCATTCTACCTCCCTCCCTTGTTTGTATTAACAAATTAGACATTTTGAATCTGGTGAGTAATGTTCATCTCACCAAAAGTTAATTGCCTGTTCTTTTACTTGAGACAATTCCAAGCTCGAGTGACTCGGCAAACTCTGTTGGCACTTGAAAAAGAAGAGGAGGAAGAAGTGCTTGGAGCCTCTGTACCACAACGAAGCACACTGGCTGAACTAAAAAGCAAAGGGAAAAAGATAGCAAGAGCACCAATCAGCCGTATAGGAGGTGCTCTCAAGGGTAAGTTTGTTAAATGTTATTATGGGAAATTCTTAGGCTCTGGTGGTAGGCAAATTATGTAAAGAGATAATGTATAAATACATATGTAGACACTGCCCTAGTTTTCTGAGTACTGTAATAGGTAGCAAAAAGAATGAAGTCTAAGAAGAGCCAAGATCACAGTGTGCACTAAAACCAAAACATGTCAGCAAATTTGTGTCTTAAGAAAAACCTAACATAGGAAACATCAAGAGTTTCTGAGTTTGAGTTATTAGTTGAAAGACAATATGTAATAATATAGCAAGTATCGTCAAAGTAAAGATTACATGTGCCAAAGCCTCAGAGAATGTATTAACATGGTCTTCAGTCTTTGGGGGGTCAGAAATTGGGCTCTCTTTGTACACCTAAACTTTTTAAAATTCACTATCTTTAGAGAAATTTTAGGTTTACAGCAGCGTTGAGCAGAGGGTACAGAAAACTTTTATTAACTAAATTGATAGCAGTCAGACATGTAGACCAGGACTTTTTTTTTTTTTTTAAAGATTTTTATTGGGGAATTGCGGGGATGGGAACAGTGCTGGGGAATTGGGGGAAGGGGAACAGACAAGTTGCTGTCGTTTTGTTCTTTAGTCTAGTTATGGAGGACGTTGCTTCACTGGCCCAAGTTGGCACCATCATTGCGCTCTTCCCGGGCAAGGCAGATCAGTCACTGGCTTCTGGACGTCCACTCACTGCGGCTACTGGCCGCTCACGCTGGCTGCTGGCCACACACGGTAGCCCTTGGCAGCCCACTGCAGCAGGGGCTGCAGCCCATGCTGTCGCTGGCGACTCAAGGCAGCCCAGCTCCAGGTCGAGCTGTTGTTTACCATCTTAGCTGTAGAGGGCAGTGTCACTGGCCCTCATGTGGGATCTGAACCGGGGCCCTTCTGCTCAGAGCTGGCGTCCCAATGTGCTTTTAACCAATGTGCCACTCGGCTGGCCCAGAATATTTTTTTTTAAATCCCTTATCCCTTTTTTGGTATCAACTTATCAATATTTAGAATGTTTCTTGGAGAGCCTAGAATTAGAGTGTAGGGAGTCTATGGCCCGAAAGAACATTTCATTCATGTCATGATGAACCTTGATTGTAATAAACAGCCCCACAACAGAGACTAATAAATAGGCTAATTTTAGATCCAGTACATGTCAAACTGATTTCTGTTGATAAAAAAATTTAAACTGAAAAATGAAGATTTGGATTAGGTTAGTCTATAATATAACTGGGCAATGTTAGAATGATAACTGAAGGAAATGTAGAATTTGGAGGTTTTTATATCTGAATAAAGTATTGGAGATAGGGAAAGGAGGAAAAGTATAAGTAACAAATAATGGATTAAAAAATTACTAATTTGATCCATTAAGGTTTTTTTAATTGTTATTTTAAAAAATCTCTTTGATTCTATGACAGTAGAAATAATCTCCTTGATTTGGGGATGAGTTAGGTATATAACTCATCTGGCACTTAAGTTAATTTAAAATTTTAACATGAAGTTTTAATATTTTTCTCCTAGCTTCAAACCAGGACAGAGGACTCCAAAACCCATTTCCTCAACCCATGCAAAGTAATTCTAGAATTACTGTTTTTGATGAAAATGCTGATGAGGCTTCTACAGCAGAGCTGTCTAAGCCTGTAGTCCAGCCATGGATTGCACCCCCTGTGGCCAGTGCCAAAGAAAATGAGCTGCAAGCAGGCCCTTGGAACACAGGCAGGCCTTTGGAGCACGGGGTAAGGACTCCTAGATCCAGTGTTATTTGCCGACATAACAAAAGCTTCAGATTTAGAGTAGAGGGGTATTTTTAGCATCTCTTTTAAATCCTCTTGAATAGTTAATTAGGAATGGTCTGCATATATTGTCAGAATGTAAAACTTGGGTAATTGTGGTTTTCTTCTTCATTGCCAGCCTCGTGGCAGTACAGCTTCTGTTACAGCTGTACCCTCTATACTCCCCAGCTTTACTCCATATGTGGAAGAGACTGCACAACAGCCAGTTATGTGAGTTTGATTTCCAGATATTTTGAGGTGGGAATTATTATTAAGAATGGGCAGGGGATCCTATGCCAGTTCCCAAGGGCATTTTCTACTCTGTAGGGATGACAATAACTAAAATTTTGTGTTTTCCTTATGTCCGTATTCCTTTGAGTATGTCAGGGCTAAAAGACCATTTGGTGGTATTCTTACTGAGGAATAAACTTAATAGGTTTACATTGCTGTAGTCAGAGATAATCACTGTGATTTAAGTGAAATGTTCTACCTCCGTTATTGACATAATTAGAAATTACAATAGTTTTTCCTCTGATACTTTTTCCTTCTAGATGTCTTTTTATTCCTAGTCCTTAGCATTTCTGTTTATAAGAAGAAATATGATAGGCGACGATTAGATAATCAGGCAGTCTGAGATTTAGTCTAATACATAACATTGTGGAGTTCTCATGCTAGATAGTATTGTGTCCCAGTGCACGTTTCCTCATGACTAATCTATAACCCTCCTCTATGTGCTAGGTAGTATAGGAATGTAAAAATAGATAAGATTTAGAGCAAAAATTCTGCCTGATAAGAGCTCAACACAAGGGAGGCTATTCTTAAGAAAATCATGAGCCTTTACAAAGGACTACCTGAAGAAATTGATAGCACACATTTATGGGTGTTTAATTTT